CAGCTGGTTTGCAAATTGCACCCCTTGTACAACAGCTAAAAGTTYTGCCCWGATGGAGTYCCCAATTCCCAAGGGACCTGAGTAGAGCAACAAAATCTCTCTCTTCTCATTTCTCAAAACACCCCCCATTACGGATAATCCTGGATTACCCATGCTACTTCCATCAAAGTTTAACTTCAGTGAGCCTTCGGATGGAGGAGAACAGCTTGTAATTGATTTGTCCTTTAGGGATGAACACCCCGTTACTGCTGACCAATTTGTCCAAAGGTCATTAAAGGAGAATTGATGAAAGATTTCCAAGGTATTGCCCTATTTAACACRCAGTCTTTCAATTCTWGACTRCTCCTTTCCTTTTCTTGAAAAATTCTAATATTCCTTTCTTCCCAAAGAGTCCAAAKCAAGGCAGCACGAGCACATCTCCACATAATTCTCCCTATTTTTGTAGGCCAACAAAAGGTAGAATGGTTGAAGAGCATGTGAACTTCTGCTGGTAGACTCCAACTACACCCAAACAATGAAAGTAGCCAAGGGATTTACTGAATGCTTCTAATGCTTCTAATGCAAACCTGTTGGGCTAACAAAATTAGGTGCTCCGTTAGAATATTTGTACTCAAAGATTCCTCCTGTATAACTCCTAAGGGCCTGATCCCTGTTTTTGTTTTTCCTTTCTTTTGAATTGTACACCTTCTTATGTACTTTTCTCTTTTGTTAATGAAATCAGTTACCTTTCAATATATATATATATATTTCCCCAAGTTACTTCATGATCTATATGTGCTATTCTTTTCACAGTTTTTTCTTCACCACTCATTTCCTCAAAAATGTACATCATAAAACAACTGACCAAAACCTGACCAACATAACAGTTAAGCAATTTATTCCTAACCTTCCTGTAAAAGAAACATGGTAAAGGACTTCTGAGCTAAAGGCTACTTACTAGTACTTTAGCCATTGCAGCCACCCTTAATGGTAATGTCCTTGGGGTCATTTGCAACTGTGGAACAACAGGCAATGGCACCTTATGGTCAACAGGAGGGGATGTTGCCAGAACTTCACCAACGTACGATTGCTCCTTTGAATTTGGAAATGCACTATCCTGCTAAAAGTAGAAAAATGTAAAACTAGTAATAAAGTAACCATATAAGTTGCAAAAGAATAAACCACATCCTCTAATACATTCTATAACGAGTAAGGAGAAGAAATGTGAATTTTCAAACCTTTATTGTGACAGAAAAGGCTTGCTGAACTGCCAATGCATCACTCTGGCGGTTCATCTCAGATGACCTTATCATAAAACTACTCAGCCGAACTTCAGCAGGTTGTGGAGAATCCTCCCTATAGTTTTCATAAAATTAAACTTATTAGTTATTACAAGGTTAATGAGCATCTGAAGAAAACTTAGTGGATCGCTCACAAACACAACCTCTTGGAATGAACCTTCCACCCTCCTTCCCCATCCAAGGACAAAACCATGTCATGAAATGCAACAAGGGCTGGACGATGAGAAATAGTAATGCATGATGTCCCCATTGCTCGAACCTTGGCACAGAATCTTTCCTCCATATCAGTTGTCACAGCACTAGTACACTCATCAAGAATAGCAAACTTGGGTTTGTGATAGAACAGCCTGGCCATTCCCAATCTTTGCTGTTCTCCAAGAGAAAGCTCGTCACCCCAATTTATTTCCTTCTCTGGTGGATAACGATCCAATAGGTATTCAAGATCAACCTGAAGATTGGAAAAAGACATACACCTAGAATATGTTAAGCAGATCTAACAATTCTAGTAGTCTTATAAACTTGAAAAACATGGATCAGGGTATTCTCTTTTCTATTGTTTGTTGGGAGGGGGGGGGGAGAGAGAAAGAGAGCGAGAGAGACACTACATTTTTCAAGAGCTCAACCATTCCCTCTTGAGTAAGTGGTTCACTCTCTTCAGCCACAGTCAGAGGATAGATTAATTGATCGCGAAGTGTTCCTACAGCTGTATAAGGTCTTTGTGGTACATAGAAAATCTCCTTATTAAGATCAGAACCAATCCCAGGTTTAAAAATGTAGCCAGATACTAGTGGCCAAAGGCCTCCAAGAACACGGAAGAGAGAGCTTTTCCCACTACCATTTGGACCTTTAGTAGAAAAATAGAACAAACAAAGTTATTAGAGCCAGAATAGAAAGGCAACAAAAACAGAAAAGCGCATAAACTAATTGACTTAACGAACAAGAGTAGATATTTCATTTTACATGGTCAAAACTCAAAACCAGGAAGAACAGAATTTCAGGATTTCAGTGAGTAAAACAACAGCATTACCATAACAAGACAAGCAAAGAATACTTAATAATCAAAGAAACAATTTCCATTAGATCATCACATTGTTTTAAATTCAAGGACAAATATTTTTAACAAGAATATAATCATCTGCAGATATCAATAGTAATTATTGGATGTTGTGAGAGTCTTTATGTAAAGATGTTATACAAAAAAGGCCACTACCCATTGTTGCTCCCAGATATCTTGGGTCTTGGGAGGGGTAGACTGGATATTCCTAACCTCTGCCACTTTTAGCACATATGTAGCTTCCCTCAGACTTGAATCCACATTCTCATGCATAAGGGGCCTATATGTATACTATAGGATAACTACGTTTTAGGCTTACTTAAGCCATCAGTTGCAAGGTTCAAGGTAAGGGAATCTAAAAAATGTTGGTGGGTTTCGTGGTCGTATTCCTTCACGGTTTCAATGATAGTAGAATGGCTCCCATCCCCCAAGAAAGTCACCATTTAGGCCAAAGGGAGATAAATGCCAAGACCAAATGTTGGCCCTCACTATCTAGGGTCTTGGGAGAGGTGAAGTGGATACGGATCTTACCTTTGGCATGTCTTTTGACAAAGTGGGTTCTCAGACTCAACTCAAATCAACATTCTCACTTCTCAGACTTGTAAGCCCAAGATTCTGTCATTGCCCTAAGCAGTTATGTAAATTTCAGGCCACACCATGTAAATCTTGAGTATGTCTATTGGTTTATTTTCTTTGCTTTATCTGGTTTAGCTTCTTCACTGAAGGCTAACATGGATTGGCTGTATTGAAAAATAAAGCCTAGGCATCACATCTACAATTATATATAGTGTAGTCCAAACTTCTAACTGTCAAAGTATTAACTCTTAAGGATTCTCTTCATCTAAAGCTTTAACATGGTAGGTCAGGTATCCTTTAACAGATAAAATTTGAACAATCCAAATTAATAAAAAAAAACTCTAAGAAAGAATTAAAATAATGCCATTGAATCCACTGTCAAACATTACCTGTAATCAAAAGATTTGATCCTGGTTCAACCCGCAAAGTTAAATCTTCCACCAACACATTACCCGTTGGTGTAACTACCTGGAAGAACCTCGTTACTATCAGAAAATAGATAAACCAAGGTAAATTACCGAGTGAAGTTCAAATACCTTTACACCAGCAAATTCAATGTAGTTAGCTTCACTAAAATAGTTGCTGCCTCCATTTCGCTGAATAGAAGATTTATCATGGATGACACTTAACTCTCTTGAAATAAACATCAATTCATGAATCCGGTCAGCATAGCCACTGCAAATCAATAAAAGAACAAAGTGAACAAAAATCAAAGCCAAACATCCCATATATAGTAGTAGCCATAAATCAAAAATGTATATATGGAACTTCAGGATATCCACAAATATTTTAAGCCTAACATGAATGAGATGACTCAGTAACCCAATAGAAGCTACTGAAGCAATTTTTTTGGTAATAAATAAAAAAGATTTTTTTTTTATAAAAGAAGCAAAAGTACATCAGGAGGGTGATGAAAGATCACCAAAAGATAAAAAACAAAGCAAAAACAGAAAAGCTGAACAGATCTTTTACAACAGAAACAAGAGAAAAGCTAGATTAATTCAAGAAGGTTCCAAAAGCCAATGCCCAGATCTAGAAACTCCTACAAATTCTGGAAGGAATTGAACCCAATCCATAATCCTTTTGCCACACATCAGTGTTAATTTATCTCTAGTACACGATCTGTTCTTATGGGCAAGAAAACATTTGTAGAAATACTGGTCGATGGGCCACAGGTTGTAGGGCTTCATAATCTTATGGCCCTACTACTTACTTATGCTCTCACAGCTCTCTTTATATTTAGTTTATATGCAGCATACAGGTCCACTATTAGGGGCATCCATGAAATTTTTTTTATCAGCGAAAGATAATTTTATTAATTTAAAAACAGATTACAAGTACTTTCTGGAGTAATACAGTTTAGAAAGTCCCCATAATACAAAGATCCTCTATCCTATAATGTGGCTGAAACATACTCCTTGAAGATGAGTGTAGCCAGGGTGTATCGGTTGAAGAATGATGTGAACAATTTGCAACAGAGGGAGAAGCCATTGGCTGTATATTATTCAATGCTGATTGCTTAAGTCATTATGACAAGAAATAGATCTGATGGAGACTATTGTGTGGGAAAGCACCAAGGACACAAGATCTACAGGAAGTTGGTTGAAAGCTATAGTGTTTTTGAGTTTCTAACTGGCCTCAATCCAGAGTTTGATATCACCAAACAAAACATACTGGCAAAAGCCGAAGTAACTTTCTCTGAGGCATATGCAATGGTTAGCACTGAGGAGAGCAAACAAAAGGTATAAATATTGCAAGAAACCTAAGCATACTAAGGAGATGAAAGGATCTCCAAGGAAGAAGAGATCAAGCAATCTCTGATTGCTTAGGAGGCCTTTGCTGGACAGAGAAGTTGAAGAATGCATCTTACTATTAGAAAAGCTTGAGGGGACAAAACCCTCTTTTCAGCAGAGAGATAAGCTCTGGTGGAAGGAGGGGAAGAATGGCAAATTCACACTCAAATCATGCTGTTGGCCCTAAGCAGCTCTATCTCAGCCTCAAATCACATTAAAGGAATTTGGGGAACCCAGTCCCTCCTAGAGTCAAAGCTCTGGCCTGGTTGGTGGCCATGGACAGTATGTTGACAGCTGATCACCTGAAATCTAGAGGCTTTAGCATGGCTAACAGGTGCTGTTTGTGTGAGGAGCAGGAAGAGGATGCTACTCACCTGTTCATTTCCTGCAAATTCTCAAGCTTTTTATGGAAGGTTTTCACATCAATGTTCAGGGTCTCAAACTTTCACCCAACTTCAACAGAAGAAATCTTTTCTACTTGGCCAAGGCTGAATGGGAATAAGAAGGTAAATCTGCTATGGAGTGCATCCCATTTGCAATTTGTTGGAACATTTGGAAGGAGAGGAACAGAAGGATACTCGAAGATAAAGCTTGCAGTATGGACAAGATGGTTGCTGCTGTGGGCAGATCAGTGGTAGATTGGCTGCTGATTCTTCCAGAATTCAGCCAAGCAGAGAAAGAAGACTTTGGTTTTAGATTAGGAGAACTCCTGGATTTTCAGATATGTATTGTGGAAAATGTTCTCTAATTTGAATTTTGGTCTGTAATCGGGTGATGTCTTGTCACCTCCTGAAGTAACTTCTTTTTCTCTTCAATAAAATTTTTATTTTTACTTATCAAATATAGAGAGAGAGAGATCAAGCAAGCTGTCTTTCTAATGGAAAGATCAAAGGCTCTAGGTCCAAATGGCTTTACAATGACTTTTTATCAAGATTGCTGAAAGGTGCTAAAATAAGACCTATTTGAAGTTTTTAAGGAATTTGCAAACAATCACATATTAATCCCTGGAGTCATTGCCACATACTTAGCCTTAATCCCTAAGAAAATTGATGCTAACAACCCAAAAGATTTTAGGCCTATTAATCTGGTGACAAGCATTTATAAAATTCTGGCTAAACTGCTCTCTCTAAGGATCAAAGAAGTTCTCCCATCCATCATTAGTCAAACCCAAGGGGCGTTCATTCAAGGGCGACAAATAATAGATCAGATTCTAATTGCGAATGAATGTGTAGAGGAGATGAAACGGTCTAGGCAAAGAGGTTTTGTATGTAAATTGGATCTTGAAAATGCCTAAGATTTAGTGGATTGGAAGTTTTCTCAGATGTGATGAGGAACTGTGGGTTTGGGGACAGATCGTGTAGCTGGATATTTAGGTGTATTATTTCTTTTCAGCTTGCAGGGGGATCAAGCAAGGGGATCCACTCTCTCCTTTCCTCTTTACTTTAGTAGCCGATGTGATTGGTAGAATCATTACTAAGGCCAATGGAGAAGATATTATTAGGGGCTGGAGAGTAGGGTGGAAGCATATCCAGTCACTCATCTTCCATGTGCAGATGACCTGATGATTTTTTGTGAAGGGGGTATGAGCGAGAAGGTAGCAAACTTAAAGGAGCTAATCAAAAGTTTTGAAAGAATATCTAATTTGAAAATAAATTTAGAAAAGAGCTGCATAGCGGGTATTAACTTGGAGGATGGGGAGGTCGAGGCTATTGTGGAGTGTCTTGAGTGTTCTATGTCTATTTGGCTTATATCCTATTTAGGGCTTCCATTAGGGGCAAATCCTAGGGAGAGTAGATTTTGGACTCCAGTGATAGAAAAGTTTGAGAAGAGATTAGCTTCATGGAAGAAGAAATACATCTCTTTCAGAGGTAGAATCACCTTAATAAGAGCTACATTGGCAAATTTACCCACTTACTTTCTATCTATCTTTAGGATACCACCTAGGGAAGCCAGGAAGTTGGAACCTAATGAAAGATTTTCTATGGGAATTGAGACAAAGAAGATCGGATCATTTGATTAAGCGGGAAATTGTATGTAGAAGTAAAGAAGAGGGGAGGTTTGGGAATAGGGACAATGGTTGAAAAAAAAAATTAAGCTCTGTTGGGGAAATGGTTGTGGTGAAAGTCATTGGAAAAAGAGAGACTTTGGCAGAAAGTGGTGGGAAGCATTCATGGGAGATCAGAGAATGGGTAAGACGGTGGTGTATCAAAGAAGGCTAACTTGGCAGCACCTTGGAAGGCCATTCACAACACCCTCCTCAATTTCTCAAGTTTGTGAAATATGAAGTTTGTTATGTTAATGCTGTCCATTTTTGGGAGGACATTTGGGTAGGAAACACCCCTTTTAAAGGACTTTTTCCTCCAGTTATTTTCTATTTCAATGTATAAAAAAGAGGTGGTCTCAAGATTTGTCTCATCTTTGGGAACACCTATAGCTCCTAATTGGGATTTCGGGATTTGTAGGGGATTAAGGGATGATGAAATTGACTCCTTAATCAGGTTTGCTTGGATCCCTCCAAACCAGATAAAAGGGTGTGGGTTCCTAGGCCTAAAGGGACTTTACTTGTGATTCTTACTTCAAGTCCATCTCCTAGTCCTTTGTCCAAAAGATTTTTCCTTCAAAGGAAATTTGGTGCAGGCCGGTTCCCCTAAAGGTTATGGCTTTTTGTTGGGAAGTGTACTATGGGAAAGTAAACACTCTAGATAACCTACAAAAGAGAAGACCCTTCCTTTCTATTTCTCCCAACTAGTGTACCCTCTGTAGAGCCCATGGGGAGGATTGTTACCATCTACTAATATCTAGTCCTTTCCCTGTAGACTTATGGGCTTGGCTACTCTCATTGTTTGGGAGTACTTGGAACTTGCCAGTAGTTCGCATGATCTTTGACCATTCTACTTTCTCTTAGCCTACAAAAAGAGGGAGAATTTTGTGGAGATGAGCTCAAACAGTCTTGATTTGGACTTTATGGGAAAAAATGAATGCTAGAGTATTTCAAAAGAAGGAAGGGAGCAGCCACAAACTGAAGGGCTGTGTGTTGAATAGGGCAATACTTTCGCTGAAGACTTTGGAAATTTCTCACCAATTCTCCTATATGACTTTTGGAGAAACTGGTCAGTAGTAGCAAGGTGCTCTTCCATTAAGAATAAGATAGTTACAAGGTGGTTTCCTCCATCTTAAGGATCATTGAAGCTGTTTTTTTTTGGAAAGTAAAATAAAAAGAAGAATCCATAAGGAAGGTATCACCCAAGAGATAACATGACTGCTGACTTAGAACCTCCACCAACTACAAGACTTAAAAACAAAAAGGAATGATAACACCTCTAGGATCAAAAAAGCGGACAGCTTCACAATTGATATGACTGTGACACGAGTATCAGCAAACCTAGCGGAACTAGGGCCCTAATCTTCCCCTTCGAACACCTCCTCTTGACTGTTGACATCTTCATTCCACCTCCAACCTCCATTTTCCTTTTTCTTCAGAGCTTCTTCTCTCATCTTCCTCTCAAATTCTTCGAAGGATTTCCTAGCAAATTCCTCGCCACCCTAGAAAAGCAGACCCAGGCTTTTGCCGATCTCTACATCTTTTTAGTCGCTTCCTCCAAGGAGATACTTCTTAATTTCGTCACCTTCCTCTCAATGTTTTTATCACAATCTCTTACAGTGAAATCAGGCTTGTTCTCTATTGCTTTCCCCCCTCTGTCAAGTCCCCAATTGCTTATCTGAGTTAGAAACAACCCAAAAATCTTTACCAGTAGCATCACCGATTGTCCTCTTTGTAAGATTGCTGCCCCTTCTCTTATAAGCCTTCTTGAAATTCTTGGTAGGTCCAGTCCTGACCAAACCACATTTCAGCCAAGAGAAAATTTTGGTAACGTGAACAGTTCCGCATGTTTTTTTGGACTTCACTGAATTGGCCACATCTAAAATATTCTTAGCCTCCCCCCTCCTACCCAAATCTACACCTATCTTTCCAATCACCACCTCCTCGAAGTAACGATGGTCAACCATTGTGCTCTCGGTTAGTGATAGGATACAACGACTCTCACCTACAGTTCCATTACCTTCAAGGCCAACAACACAATTACCTCCTAAATCGGCATCAGCATAACCTCTTACATCCACCTCCTCCAGTCCTCCTTCAAAACATTCTCAGCTTCTATAACACACTCAATCGCATCACTCAAGCCAGTGTTCTAAAAGCGTAAGGGCCAATTTGCTACTGAGGCGCAAGGCAAGGCACATGCCTTTTTGAAGCAAGGCGAAAAATTACAAAAACAAATATGCCAAAAAATCCAAAAAAATTAAAAAAAAATGCCAAAATTTTTAAAAAATATTAAACATAATGTTAATAAAAAATATAAACATAAATTTTAAAATAAATTTTTTAAAAAAACTATTATCTAAAACTAAAATACATAAACATAACATGTAAAGCGTATTCAAATGAAGGAAAAAAAACTAAAAAAAAAAACATTGAGCGCTTGGTTTTTAGTATTGATATGCCCCTGCCAATACATTGGGGCGTATCGATACTTTGAACCTTGTTTGTACCACACCCCTCGAAGTGTGCCTGGTCTGAGGTGCAAGGCACATCAAGCGCACGCCAAGGCGCACCAGGCATGCACCTTTTGAAAGGGGTGCACCTAGGACCTGAGCGAGGCGGATACCCTAAAATGTACCTCGCTTGTGCACCTAGGGACGCCTTTTGTTACAGACTGTATAATTAAAATAGGAAGATGTTACAGACTGTATAATTAAAATAGGAAGTAAATACTAGGGAGATAWGATTTACYTTGATTGTAGGACTGATTTGTAGGAATTTGATTAGTCTTCTTTCCTAATATATTCTTTCCTAACATAGAATTTGTAACTTGTATATATACATACGAGATTGATGAATAATATAACAAATTCTTCTTCTTCCTCTACTTACTCTTGTTTTACATGGTATCAGAGCATCTAGTCTCTGCCAGCCCTTTTGTTTTTTTAAGTAAACAGTAGGTAGAGGAAAATTTCTGGGTGTTTCGGGTCACCTCCTTGGAGCAGTCAGAGCATCTAGTCTCTGCAAAGTCCGGCAATCAGCAGCCCTGCGCATGTGTCTCACGCACCACCTGAAGATTCTGCCACAGTCACGCGCCGGCACGTGGTGGCGCATCTGTCGTCGGAAAATTTTTTCGGTCGTTGTCTTTTGGCTCACCTCGTCCTGTATAGCACATATTTGTGCTTTGTTACGTGCATATCCATTCCGGTGTTTTCAACAGGTGTGCTCTGTTGATTTTCGGTGTTCAAAATATTCTGTTTATTTGAATTTTGAGATTAAAGCAGACAAGAAATCAGTAGTTATGTCGGATGTTATTCCAGTGATGTCAAAAAT